TTCCACTAATCTATGTTGGTTCTGTGATTACCCCGCAATCGTAAAAAGTAGTCAGACTATTGGGAAAATGAATTCGGTGAGGCAATATATCAGAACCGCTAACCCAGGAGCAAGGTGCGAACTTTTTATTTCAAAAATTTGGGATCAAAAATTTAATTTTATTTTTTTTAATCCAATATGTTTGGGACTAAAAATAAAAAATTTAAAATATTACTTTTCGATTTGAATGAACGCGGAAAAATTGTAATTTTACGGTAAATTTTTTTATTTTTATTTTTTCCAAAATGTCAAATGTTTTCCAAAAAAAAATTGTTTTTTTCGCTCCACCCTAGTTATTGCGGTACAAACAAAAAAACGTTAATTTCGGCTGCACCGAAGCAGCTTCACAGGTGCATTCTTATAACTAAAGAAACATAAAAAAAAATTATCTTGATTTTGATTTGTCAGCTTATATGGCAGCTATGTGACATAGTGGTCTGACCTGAACAAGTTCTTCGGAGATTGCATTATTGCCTTTGGCAATGGTTCATGCCAAATTTCGTGAAGATATATTTTGTCCAATAAAACAGTTTTATATACAAGGGCATGTATTTGATTGTTTAGTTTGTATGGCAGCTATATGATATAGTTGTCCGATATCGGCGGTTTCTACAAACAAGCAGCTTCTTGGTGAGAAATTCTGGTCGATATCTCAAAAACTGAGGGACTTTTTTCGAGCAAGAATTTCCTTCAAATATTACGATCCGCCAGAACTAGAGTCACTCTATTTGCATATCACATTTCTGATCTCTAGCAAAAATAAATACAATACTTCTCATACTTTCATAGGATTGCCTAAAATTCATCAGTACCAAGAAAAATGATAACTATAAGTCAAAATCGAAATTTGGGTCGAATATAATACTGCAAAAAATTATAACTTCGGAATTTATATTATAAAAGAAAAACATAATAACAAAACAAAATGACTTGAAATACGAGTATTTATATGTATATACGAGTATGACACATCATATTATGTATAATCCTTTAAATATGTATGTAACTGTGAATATTGCCCTTAAAGGGCGTAGACAATTTATCACTTCTTACACACATACAAACTTACATAGAAGAAAAATGAAGTACATATTCCCTTGACTGTCATTTGTAGAATTCCTCAATGGAACCCACAAAGTTGAGCCAGAAAACCACCAACACATATGCCATTAGCCACTGACACGATACATGTACAGCTATGCCGAGCAGTGGAATGGACGGTACTCGTCATTCACTCACGAAGTGCTCAGCAAGAGGCCACTTCCAGTTGTTTTTTATTTCTTTTTTGTTTTGTTTGGTTTTCTCTTTAATTCTGTTTCTATGATTTTGTTTTATCACAGATCCTTGTGTTCTCATTTGTAAACAAATGCTGGGCTCCAAGCGCAAAAGTGTATAAATAAGCATAGGAAAGCAGTTATGTGAGCAGCTCAAAGTCATCAGCACTTTGTAGGTTATAAATGACTACCGAGCAACGCATGAACCTACACATGAGCACATACATTGAGCACATTCAACATAAGCGTTACCACATATCAGTTTGGTTTTGTCTTTTTGCAGTCTTAAGTGGGGAGATTTTTTGAAAACTGCTCATTATGCTGGCAGTTTTAATAAATGCGCACCTGAAAGCGATGAATAACGAGTGGCGAAGATAGTTTTTGCATTCATAGCTATGTTTTTTAATTAGTACACTTTTAAACTGCGGATTTCGAAAACCAAGAAACTTTTCTCGTTTTGATATTCTACAAATTGCTTCCGAGCACATTAAAGTTTTACTCGTGGTTACAAAATAAACAAACACTTCCGCAGATTCTGTAAATAGAAAAGCAATATTGCTATGAACGGCATTAATGAGAACTTAACCTTTTGAATTATTTCAAGTGTGCTGTAACTTTACCTAGAGGTCACTGCTGCTATGCTGTCGTAACTGGTACACATATGTAGTATGTATTACAAAAATACGTGCTAAGCAGTAAGAGCTCTCAGGTAGAAAAAGTTCAAGAAAATGTTGACAACACCCTTTAATTTCATAGGATGCTTACAAATACCATTGACCTACCGTACATACTTGTAGTAAAATGATTCGAAAATCAGTCCTAAACTGCGGATACGAGGTGTGTTCAAAAAATTACGGGTATTTTAAAATTAACATTAGACATGTTTTTATGAACTTAGGGATTTTCGTTTGTTAAAAAAAAGGGATCCTAGAATTTGTTCGTGAATTCTGAGCAAAAAAAAAATACTGTAACAGCATCCATATTCGCTAGATATGGCGCCGTGGGATATTTTTCTATTTACAAAAATTAAGTGATCCGTAAAAGGTCGTCGTTTTGCAGATAGATGAAAGTCGCTAAAAGAGCTAAAGGCTATCCCAAAAATTGAGTTTGAGATGTGTTTCGCCGATTGGAAGAAGAGACTATTATGAAGGCGACAACATTAATATCTACGAATGAATAAGTATTTATTAAAAAAAAAAACAAACAAATCTCGTTATTTTTTGAAACTAACTCTTATATTATCAATTGGGTAGCACTTTTTAAGGCCTTAGACAATTAGTTAAGACAATTACGTTGTTAGTTGACTCATCTTGCATGATAACCTAACGTAATCAATTTATAGCATTACTATTTGAGATGTCGTATTTCTAAAAAAATAACTTGTTATGTGATAGTTTTGAAAAAAATAGATGTTTTAGAGATTATAGAGATAACTTTTTTATCTCGAGTTTCTAAATAGTTTAATTTTATTCATTGCTTTTCGAAATACATTCAAACATTCAATCACTTTTCTCCTCTGCTTGAAGTTACTTGACATTGTTGCATTGAGAATTTTATGTTAATTTATTGTTCATTAACCATTAATGAGATAATTAGTAAACTATTCAATTGTTTTGTAAATTAAAAAAAAATAGTTTTTAAATTTCTGAACATTTTTAAAAATCTATTTAAGAATATGCTTGGACACGACAGAAATGGGTTCCTGACGAATTGGTTATATCGATATCTGTCTTGTCTAGACGTTTGGTCTAGATTCTGCTCCCATTTATGAAGTGTCCAACTCGAAACCCTTGATTGATTTTTTGAAATTAATGAGATATTATAGGCAAAATACGATCAGATATATATTGATTATTATTTCTAAACAATGTTAACTTTGACTGCACCGAAGTCCTAATGCCATTTTCAGGAGCATTTCTAATAGCATAAAAGGCTGTAAAGAGATCTTTATATTGATTTTGATCAATCACTTTGTATGGAAGATGTATTCTATGGTAGGCCGATATCGGCAGTAATGTCAAATAAGCAGCTTCTTGGAGCGAAAAGGAAAATTTCAGTCAGATATCTATATACAGACAGACGGATGGACATGGTTAAATCGACACACTGATCATTTATATATTATATATATACTTAATAGAGTCTCCGACGTTTTCTTGTAGATGTCAGAAACTTCATGACATTACTGTCATTCCTGATTAGCACAATATTCCGATTAACGCCGTGCAATTGATTAAAGTGTATTTTCTTTGTCCTAGAGATGGCATCACCTAATTATTATTCCATTGTTCTAATATTTCGAACATGCGTTGGAGAGCTAATGTTCCTGTACATCTTTTTCAGTATGTGTCATTTATTTGACAATCAATTTTTTTCGAACTTTTTGCTAGAAAAAGTGTTTTGCGGGGAGTACTTCTTCAGTATTTTAATATGACAAAAAAACATCAGCCGAAACACATCGTAGTTTGGTGAAAGTTTAAGTATGAGCGAACGTTCACAATTGGAACTGGAAACATTACTTATTGAAGATTGTTGCCAAACACAAGAAGTGGTTTCAGAATCTTTAGGTGATACACAAGCAGCCGCTTCAAAACGTTCAAAAGCAGCAGAATACATTCAAATGCAAGGAAATTTGCAGTCATGCGAATTCAACCCAGGAGACTTTAAAAGACGATTTCGCATGACAGAAATGCTGCATGAACGCTACAAAAATAATTCGTTTGGCATCGATTTGTGACTAGTGATGAAAAATTTATCCATGGACAACGCTAAATACAACGGCAATGCCGAGTATCTTTGACGCTGCATTGTATTTGGTGGGATCAGAAGAGCGTGCTGTATTATGAGCTTCTAAAGCGGGGTGTAGCTATTAATGAGGAACGCTACCGACAAAAACTCATCAAATTGAAGCGTACTATTGCCGAAAAACGTTCGGAATATGCGACTAGACACGAAGCAATAATTTTCTACCATGGGAACGATCGTTCTCATGTTGTAAGACCGATTGTCTTTTCTCTATACAAACAACTGGTGTTTTTTACATTGATCCTACGATCAATCAATTGTCACATTTTGGTAATACATTAAGACCAGAAAGTTTCCGGAATTTTTTTTTTTTTCGATATTCGCGGTTTGGTTCATCATGAATTCGTTTCAATGGGACAAACGGTCAATAGAGAGTATTATTTGAGAGTCTTGAGACGTTTGCGTGAAAACATCCGTCGTAAACGGCTGGAATTGCCAACAATTCATGGACTTTTCATGATGGTAATGCGCCATCGCATCGAGCTGTAGTTGTGAATGATTTTAAGACCAAAAACTCGTTCAATATCATTGATCAACTACCGTATTCACCGGATTGGCCCCATGCGACTTTTTTTGTTACCAAAACTCAAGTTAGCACTCCGTGAAACTCGTTTCGACTCGATTGAGGCCGTAAAAGTAAATTCGCTGAGGGAACTGAGGACGATCCAATGCCTGCAAGGCATATTTCGATGATTGGAAAAAGAGGTGGCATGTGTGTATCGCTTTATAAGGAGCATATTTTGAAAGCGACAACTTGTGAACTGATACTTTTCCTGCCTAGTTTGAATCCCAACTGGATGTTACCAATATAAGCTCATTTATAACACTACATACACACACATATATGCATATACTATAATCATTTAGAAATCTGGCACTCACCAAGCGCATGCTGTCATATCCAACGACCCACTCTCGTAACGACAATGCAATGTAGCGCTGCAACAACAGCAATCTGCAAGTAAATGAGAACAAGAACAAACATTTAATATAAGTAGAATAAGACAAATGTGCGAAAAATCCTATCAATCATTTTACTGCGCATCTGACGCCGCTTCAACCCCGCCGTAACACTTTCCATACACATTTTTTACACAGACCTACATGCTCGCATATAATTTTTGCAACATTTTTGTTGTGATTACATTTTTATTTTATTTCCTTCTTTGTTGGCTTTTCTTTTGCCTTCGCTTGCAAATACCCCGAAGTCGTTTTAAATCGTTTTAAAATAGCTGGCACGTTCATAAACCGTCACCCACACCGGCCATCCTTTGCCAGAAAGGACTTGACTCGCAACTTGCCAACTGCCAGCCAACTGCCTGACATGGAAGGCCAGTCTTTCACTCGTACTCTGCTCTATTTGCAATTTTTTTTATTATTACTATTTTTTCTTTGTTTTTGTTGCATCTTTATTGTTGCAAATCTGTGAGAAATGGACGCTGGGGAGAAAATCGCAAACAACAACATTTTCGCACTCAGCCAAGACTGTGTGGCACGTCTTCCATCAAATTTGCTGACACGATGCTCGAGAAAAAATCGTATATGAACTTTATGTATGTATTGGTATGTACTAAAAAGCTCTGGGTAGTGGACTCTTTGTTCCTAAAGTTTGGTTGCATTATTCATATACATATTCTTAAATATTTTAAACACTCTCTGCACTGAGGCTAAATTACGACGAAGATTGAACTTTCGAAGTTTTAGCACAAGAATTTATGTACAATAAATAATTTGAAAACTGAGTTATTGAGAATGAAATGATTTTCTTATAAGAATGTATGCTGTAATAAATTTTACACAATTTACTACTTCAGCGATTTTGATTCTGCGTTACTTCCAATATGATTCTAACACCATTTTTTAATATCTTGATTAGCTAAGGTAAGTTGTGTAGTAGTAGTGTTAGTTGACTCTTAGTGTTTGGTGTGAAATCTTAAGCTTGAATAATAAACATGTGACAGTTGTCTGATAAATCTTTTGGAGTTGTTTATTAAAACTTTTGGAAAATACTCCTTGAAAGGAATGCTCCAAGCGCTTTCTCATCTCGGCTCGTCATCGTCCATATTTCTGTATAATAGGACGGAAATCATTAGAGACTTATAAGAGTAATCTTTGTTCGTCGAGAGAACGATCTACTTCTCACTTGCCTACCGATCCGAAAGTAGCGACTGTTGGTACGAATAATTCTGTTAAAAACCTCGTCTGGTATCGAACGGCTTGGAGAGGTCTTTTCCGATTTGACGGAGCTGATTGTTGTGCTCAACGGGGTATAAATGTGGTGTGATAGTTACCCGTGCAACGTGAGCAACTTTGAATAAGATGCGGTAAGCAACCCGTGGGAAACGGCTAAGAGAGCCCCTTGATGGGGCCAATCCGAGTCAATCGGTTTAAGGGCTTAACAAGGTTGCAGCGTCTGCCCACCAGAAGGTGCAAGCGGGCGACTGTCATGAATTAAGTGACTCGCTATATAAACGTGACAATGAAACTTTCTCCCTAGCTGAGTTTTGCTTAAAAACTAATACGCCAAATACTTTTCAATTTGAACTGAAGAATTATATTTGAGGTGTTCAAAGGTCTACTTTATTTTGGAACGCAAATTAGCTCCCTTAGCTATATGTTTCAAATGTTTGATTAAATGTGCTCTCTGAGTAATCCAAATAAATCCAAATAACAATTTTCGACTGAAGTAAGAAAACTTAAATACAATTTGTATAACAATATAAATGTACCAGAAGTAAGGAGTTTAAGAAAGCTTGTGAAATTTTAGATAATTTTTTGTACAGAGTTGCCACCTAAGAAATTTAAAAAAAAATTGTGCTGTACAAAACTAGTTTCAAAACGACTTCTATTAGGTGGAGGTTGCGGAAAATGATAAAAGCAAATTTTTTTTTTCTGATAAAGGTGCCACCCCTTGAAAATTTGTAAATACCGAAAAATATTTAAAAATTTATGGGAACCTTCAAAGTTTCAAAATAAAAATACGGAGCATTTTCAAAAAATTCGTTATTAAATGAGAATACAATATTTTTTTGCATAAAATGTCCCGTTATACGCATATTGATATATGAACATTAGCTTATAAGTGTTCATAAAACTTAAAAAGTTTATAAAACTTTCAAATACAAAAACAAGTGCTCAAACTTCGAATAGTGAGATACAAGCTGACCGCTCTGCACATAACTTCTTGATATTTGAATGATTAAGTGGTAAAAGACCGCCGCCGACAATCTCTTGACAAGATAAGCACTCAAAGTATGCCAAAGGATAAGTGAGAAGACAACGATGCCAAAACTGCAAAACCAAAACAACGCCAACCACAAAATAGAAGACAGCACAGAAGAATCAAAGTTCGGCGAAAAGACGACACGAAAAAATGGTGAAGAAATTATACTCCGGTGACCTGCTTTCAGCAAAAGCCACAGACCAGCTACCAACGACGCCAGCGTTAATGCACAACTAAAGCACAACAACAACAAACAACAGCTATGCAGCAAGCGCAGCCACGAAGCTGGCAGCTAATGAAAATGAGCCGTGCACGAAACAAAAGGGCAAAAGTGACTGGAAAAATTGTGCAGCTGTAAATTTACTGGCGTTGCATGCCACACGGTGCATGCGGCTAAGTGTAAGCAACAAATTGTGCAAAATGTTTAAAGCTAAATAAGCTTGCTGCCGCTCATATTTCTTGCAAACTTGCTGCTGCTAGTTGCTGTTGTTACTGTTATTGTCGATGCTGTTATTGCTTCACCAAGCCAAGCAGCATGCAACGGAGGCAATGCGAGCGGGCGACGCGCTAAAACATGCAAAGTAGCAGAGCACTTTGAAATCGACACGGCAAATCACTGGCTTGTCTGTGGCACAACAACAACAACAAAACCGAGTACAATAATAGCAACAAGCAAAGCAGCGTTAAAAGCAAAAATAGATTGCCAAGACATCTGCGGCTCATAAATGACGTCAACACGAGCATTTGCAGCTGCCACTTGGCACTTGACTGCAGCAGCGACTCGCCTGCCCTCACCTTGTGTTCATTTTTCAACTTTCAGCAGCTCCCCTTAAGCGGCGCCGTTGCCATTGCGAGACGCTGTTCTACTTGAGCGCTTCTTATTGCTTCGTTAATGCGTGTCAGTGTGTTTGTATATATATATATATATATATATTCGTATGTATATTAGGGTGGAGCGAAGGAAAAAATAGTTTTTTTGCTTAGCTCTTTTGCTGAGAGTCAAATTTGTAGATTACCAAAAATGAGAGATTTTGGAAAACAATAAAATTTTTTAACATTTGGAGGCGGTACTCACTTTTATTTCGTAAAAAATTGTTGATAAGTGTTCTAGAAGCTGTAGAGAGTCCTCTTACTAGGCACTTAAAAGTTATCAACTTAAAAAAAACATTTGTGATCATTAGAGTTTATAAAAAAGTTTTTTGCTCTCCTTAAGCGTTAAAATAAATTTTGAGTCAAAAACCGTCAAATTCGGTAATTTTTATATAAATGTGAAGAGCTTGAACCAAAACAAAATTTTTTTTTGTCCAAAAAAAATGTATCTCGAAATTTACTTTAACAGTAAGAGATGTTAAAAAAAAAACTTTTTTCTTCCAAAAATGTTCTTTTTTATAATCTACAAATTTCACCCTCAGGCTAAGCAAAAACAAAATTTTTTTCACTCCACCATAATGTATATAAATATAGATATATGTATGTATGTTTTGATAGTTTTCTTCTTTCACTTCAGCAAATCGACACAACACATCGAAGGTCGGCCGCCGCTACGCTGATCCCGTATTCCCTAGTGTGTTGTGTGTTGCATACATTTAGGCGCAGTAGCTAGGCAATTGTTGGCATTCTACATAATCATTCACTGTTCATGAAGCAAATCGTGAAATCGTGCTGCAAATTTTCAATTCTCCCCAAGAACAGCTTCCCATAAGCAACACATAAAATGCAACAACAAGCAGACAAAAGCAAAAGTCCTGAGAGAACAATGCAACAGAAATTCAAATTCAAAATCAAAATCAAAACGAATAGTAAAATGTATAACTGCAGAAATATGCATATAAAGACAGTAAGTGCAAATGAAAAAGTCATATTGCGCAACAACAAAGAAAGCCAAAAAAAAAATAAATACAAGCAGCATTCGTATAACGGCAAGTTGATGGAGTGTTAAATGAAATTCACTCCCTCGGTGGCTGCTCTGCCGAACTATCGAGCAAGCAAGCGAAAAGAAGCAAGCGAACAAGCAAAGCAAACAAATCTGCACAGAAAGTACATTGAAAGGTCCGAATTACCTGAGCGCACTCAAGTGAAAGAAGCTTTAAGACACGTTCACATAAGTATGAGTGCAGGCGGTTTCGGAGGTGAGAGAGACCATCCAAGTGTCCTTCATTAGCTGAGACAATAAGCTTGCGGTGAGTGTTGGTTTAAGTAGTTTGGTCAGGGAGTATGGCAGAAAAATTCGGAAAAAGTTGGAGAGTAGTCGGTTCCACAAATCATAATAGTACGACAAAAGTTGGTGATTGAGTTATTGTAGCGCTTACGATCAACATTTGAAATGACCAAATAAAAAAAAGATAATAACTTTGGAATTGTTTCCAATAAGTTTGATTAAAAAACTTTTACCAGCACTCTATTTAAGAGACTATAGATTCTCAATTGTCCCCAAGACTTCCAGACAAAAGGTTTATATTGCTTAAGAGGGCGTCATATTTAAGGGTAAAACTGTTTTCCTCAAGTTTGAGATGACATTAGGCTGGGAAAAATCAAGTCATATGTGAGGCGGCTGCCTACACATTCTTAAGGTTAGGAGACAGAATAGCTTACCCGCTTGCTTGAGTTTAAGCTTTCTGGGTATAAATCCCAGATTATGACAATCCGCAATGAATTATTATAGGAAAATTTACTTTCGAAATACAAAAAACAAAAAGAAGTTCTTACAAAATTGGCAAATTGCACGCTTCAAA